CAATTGCGTGGATCGTTCATTTGTGCACAGAAAACAAAGTTTAGGACCAAATACATCATGTTAATTATAGAAATGTTTTTAATATAGATACCAGGGATATTAAAGTTTTGCCTAATATTACCATTTTTGATTGGGTTCTTTGATATAAAAAAAAAACAATTTATATTCGATCGCATCAATCAACATATAGTTTAAAAATAATTAAATTATAATGCTATCAAATCTACCAGATACTTTTCCTCTGTGTAAACACATGAGCACACGACCGAACTGGAACCCCAAAGCAAAATAACAAAAACATATAAATAACCCCAAGCGAACCCCAACCAAAATTCTACACACACAATTAAGAGGAAGTTTATACCACGCTTTCCCTTATCAGCGAACTGAGATCGCTCTATGCTCGGTTAAATCGATCAAAACGCGGTCCCAACTCCTTAAAAAATAATCCCCCACTCCAGCTGCATTACATCTTCAATGGAATTTCTTTGTTCGAACCCGGTTCTGTCCCCAATTCGAAAGACTGCATCTCGAAGGTGACTCATCGGTTTACCGAGGCATCAAGTGGAGCAAACAGATTTTTACGATCTTGCAGGGCTTCTATAGAGATTTGACCGGTAATCCGATAGGTTCCGCATTAAATATCACTTGTCATTAGATACTGTAATTAACTGCCATAAAAAAAGGTGATTCAAGGTACTCACAAATGCTTTTTTCTATCGTTTCCGCATTGCAGTGTGCAAGGAGTGGCTCGTGCGTGAGGATGGTGCTTTGGCCTATAAACTCCAGTCCCAAGAGAGTGAGTACCAGAGGGGGACTAATGCTTGACCATCAAACTAATGCATACAATCATTTCCCCCAGTTAATGACTTCTACAAGGGAAATCGGTACAGAAATGCTGTGGTACGCGAGGATTTTCCAACTGCCCTGCACGAACAGATCAAGGAAAAAGAACACGCCCAGCGAAGGGTGGATGCCTACAGAAGACGTCTAACTGAACAGTAAGTCCCCACTAAACCATAAAAATCTAAGACGAGAAGAAATTAGCCCTAGAAGAGCTTAACCAATCAATGTTCTCAATTTTTAATCAAAACACCACACAAAAACATATACATATAGTCGACGGCCTCGACTATTAGATATCCTTTACTGAGCTCAAGGAAGTGTGAGAGAGATGGAGACATGCATGCCGCAAGTCGGCTGTTTCCGAGTTTGACTCGTCTAGTGATCCTGATAAAGAATATACATATATACTTCTAAGAGTCGGAAACTATGACCTTAATAGTCAAAACAGTTATAAATAAATTCCTAGGGCATTTTATTATGGTAAAAGAAGCTTTGAAATCATTATCATTACATTAAGATCATTTTGTTTGTTGGGTTTTTCTGTGACTTGTAATGTAAAATGAAAATGATATAAATATTTTTTGTATTTTATAACATATCTTACTGCCTTTCCTTACACTATTTTTGATGGTTAAATAATTAAATTAATTGTTGCTAACATGTTAGCGTTACATTTTTCATTAACTTCTTTTGAACATTTATGGTTTTCGTAATTACTCATTTTGTGTTCAATAATGGTCAATAAGTAACCATAAATCTGAGTTATTCAAAAACCAACTTTTTTGAAAGTCATGCATTCTACATTTTCAAAGGAACTAATCACAATGTCTCAACAGGGAGGAGCATGACAAGCGAGTGGCCAAAGAAATTGCTGACAAACTGGAGCGTGACCTGCAGGAGCAGCAGCAAAAGGAGCTGCAACAGAGCGAGCTAATAGCCAAGCAAATGCAGGTGAGTGCCTTGGATTTCTTGGTATCATCATGTCCCTTGAGTGATTAATTCGATTGCAGGAAATCTATGTTAATTTGCCGCCTGTGCCGCCGCCAGCAACACGAGATAGGAGCCGTCCGCCGCCACGTCCCGCCAAAGCAAGTATACACCTGCAACAGCAGCAGCAGCAACATCAGCCAGAGGCGAGCACCTCACAGCAGGCTAGATATCACAGTCAGCAACACCAGCAGCAGCAGCAGCAACCGTTGCAACTGCAGCAGCAACACTTTTCACAAACAGACAACTATGTAGGATTATCGCTTATACCAAATATTGTAGATTTGCCAGCGGCAGCAGCAGCAACATGCACAACCCCCACTAGAAATGTACAGGCACACAATCAGCTGTTGGTGAGTGATGTCTTATCATCGCAACACCAGCAGCAGCAACAGCAACATCACTCACGTTTTCATCATGCACAACAGCAGCAGCAGCAACAGCAGCAGCAGCCACATCAATCATCATCGCCGGCACGTCGTCCACCAACAAATCCGACCACATCTGCAACAACTAACATGCCCAGCACTCCATCCATAACTCAGCACCCACCCACACACACCGCACACTCAGCTGGCATCGATGAGCTGGTGGACTATGCCGATGTTGCTGACAGCATACGCGACTACAATATCGCTGTCACGGGCTGCACGGCAGCAACATCGGGCAGTGTTGTCGATGCAGCTGCAACATCACTCCAGAAACAACGCTCCCCGTCACACGAAAATCTCCTAAGAACCGAACCGAAATTTCAGAAATTGTCACCCGAGAAATACGATCAAATGGTGGGCAATTTCGGCTTGGGAAATGGAACTGGATCGGGATCTGGATCGGCCAAGGCAGCTGAGAGACACATGCAGCAACACGCCGATGACATCGAACTCTATGTGGATCCCTGCGACTATGCGAGCCTTCGAGAGATCGGGCTGCCCATGGAGGAGATCCAGGAGATGAGCAAGAAGCTCAAGCAGGAGCAGAAGGATGAGGTGACTCCACTAAGGTGACTTCAGTTGGATGTGTCTAATAACATTTTTATATTCCAGTTGCTGGCTCGCCGACTGCAGGCCATTGAGTCCAAGGAATGTGTGGGCCAGGAGCACAGGGATCGTCTGCTGGCCATCGAGGCACAGGACAAGGAGCTGGCCAAAATGCTGCAGGACAGGGTAAGAGTTTCTATGATATACTTAAATAGGAATTAAATTCGATTACATATTTGTAAGATTATGTTAGGAATCAAAATCGATCCAACTTAATAGATATGGCTGTCGGAAAAAATTTAAAAATTCTATAAATATATCTTAATCAGATATCATTTTTTTTTAAGGTTGGGAAAACTAAAGCTTATTTTATTATAAGATTAAAAATATGTATAAGGTTATTTAGGACTAGCATGGTCAAAATAAATGCCTTGCGATTCACTTTACATCCACAATTCTTCCTAAAAAATGTTAGTAATGAAAAAATTTCTGAGCTGGACATACCATTTTCTTAGGGTAGGAGATTATAATCATTCCATGCGATGCAAACTTTTATCAATAATATTAATATTACCTGAATCTAAATTCTACCCCACTACACAAATTACAGATGAATTCTAAGAATTCGTTTTGTTATAGATACAACTATTTAGGAATAAGAAAGGTAAATTGAATATAACAAAGAAACCAAAACAATGCAGTATTATTTTGCAAAGCATGTTTCAATTAACATCTTTATTTAGCTATTTTCATGTCTGTTCATATCATGAGCACTACATTTGTATACCAATAATCTTATATTCAGTTAACTGCTTTCATTTACTTTTTTGTGTACACCTAATGTTGAAATACCACCTCGATCTGCCTTTTTAGGAGAAGGCCAAAGCCAAGCGGGCCAAGGAGAAAGCTCGTCTGCGAAAAACTCAGCAGAAGGAAGCCGCAGAGGCTGCCAATGGAAACGGTAGTCTGCTCTGTGGCACCAATTCCCATTGTGGTCCTATGCTGCCGCTGCCACCGGACTGCCTTTCCAGCAATGCCAATCATTCACAGGCCGACATCGATGTGGAGGCCTACTCCAATCCCATAGATGTGCTCAACAATAGTCGTGAACAGCGACCACACAATGGACCTTTGACCAATGGCAGCCTGACCAGAGATGGGGGCTCGGGCTCCAATCACAGCTCCATGCAGAGGCAGCAGAGGAACATGGCACCCATTAGGGGAGAAGACGATATCTACACTCTGCCCGTGGACAGTTGTAGGCCAGGACCAAGGCCTGTTTCACTGCACATGGCAGCGGAGGCGGTGCAACAACTTCAGAACCACAATTCCATGACAAGGTGAGGTGGAAGTCTAAGTACAACCATTAAATTATAATTTTTGTTTAGATGAATTTTTAAAATATTTTGTAAAATGATATAACATTTTATTATTTTGGGTAATATTTATATACATATATATATATATATATATAATTAAATATATATAATATTTTTTACTTAATTATCAAAAAAATGTTTATCTTGGACATTCAGTGAAACTATTCAATATACAAGATCTATCACAGAGAAAATTCTGATGTTCTCATCTGAGTTGAAAATGTTCTTAAAAACAAAACGACATTGTTAATTTGAAAATGTTTTTATTTTGCTCCACTCAAGTTGAATTGGCGGTACTTATGTAGATTGTATATCTCAACAAATAAACTATCAGATCAGTCCGTAGTGTATACTAATCAAAAAGTTGTTACACGGATTTTAAGAACGAATGTTCCCAATTCAAGAACAATGTTCTTGGATATTTTTTTCTGTGTACACCTCATACCTACCTTAAGCTTTCTTATTGCAACTTAATTATTATATCATTTTCCTTACAGATCCGAGCATTATGGATCCGAGGCCGGTTCGCATGACAGTTCCCATCTGAGCGGTCAGGACATATCGCCCCACATGAAATACTCCAAGTCCGGCAATTTCGGTATATATGTATAAAAGCTTTATCCCCGAAATGTATCGCTATATATTGATGCATATTCCCATTGCAGATCAAAGTGCCAGTCCCACGCCGCCTTACATGCCAATTCAGGGTACTCGACGATCAAATTCAAGTGAAGATCGTAAAAAGAAGTCCAAGGACAAGTGCACGCATCAGTGAACCATAATCCCCCATTCAATACAACACTTATATACATATGTTTTGTACTCTCTTGACAATGAAATTGTTCAGATCAAAATCATAACTTGTATCGATTTATTCAAATCTTTCTCACATTGTATCTTTAGATCTTAGAGGTAGCTTATAGTTTAAATACATCAAAATCATGTACATTACTGTGTGGTTTCAGTGATGGTTTTAGTAGACGACATCATTGGGTTTACAATAAAGATTTTTTATAGATAAATATTTAAAATGGAATTCATTGACTGGGAATAGGGTTAAAGCTAAACAATATAATTACAAAATCACAATACTAAATAAACTAAAAGGAAATTAATATATTTAAAGCAAGAAAATAAACTAACTAATTTATAAAACGACTTGGAAATATAAAATAAAAACAAAAGGAAACGATATAATCGAGTGCCTCAACTATCAGATACCCATTACTCTGTTTTAAATTTCAAATAAAATAAAATTTCAGGAAAATTCTATTGGCGCGCCGGAAAAAACATCGATGCCAGCGCCACGGCACATAGCGGACGGCAGCGGTACTACTGATCATGCCAACTTTTAAAATAACAATGCGATTGGTACAATTTTCAGCATTTAGATAGGTATTGATCAATAAAAACAATTTCAATTTACACTGAAAGAAAATCTTTAATAATGTGGGCGCCAGACAAAGTTAGAGTTTGCGTGACATCCCAATGAAACAAACTTGCGTTGCTTACGAGTCCATAGAATCTGTTTGCTCAGTGCCAACTATCTAGCGTTTATAGTTTATGGGATTTTGAGATCTCAGTGTTCATACGGACAGACCTACGGACATGTTCAAATTTTCAAATCGGCTAGTGATTCTAATTAAGAATCTATATACATACATTACATACTTTCCGACGAATAAAAGATACCTTTTTGGTCTAGGAGTAACGAGCATAATAACCGAAAATATTATTAAGTATGGGTTAATTAAAAATTAAATTAAATTTGTATATTTCTTTTGTACTAGATTGGAGTAAAAATAAAAACATTCATGGAACTCAAGAATTTGCCTTTTTACGTTTTAATAACTTATATTCTAGTGTAGTTTCTGAAATAAAGTAAAGCTCGCGCTGTCAACGTACAAGATGATCTTTTCTGGAACTTCGTTCAGTCGAATCCGAAAGCTATTCTCCGGGATTCCACAACCAGCCGAACTGCATATGTCTGTCGAAGAAACTTGAATCTTAGGATATGTAATTTGTATTAGTTTTGTGTAGACCTTTACCTTCTGAAAAAAATTTGCAATTCTTCCGATAATACGCCCTCGGTCAGCTTTTGGATTTGCCTTCGTTTTTTTTTACTAACATCAGCAAGTTTGCGTCCAATACCGGAGATCAAAACTTGTGAAACTGGTATTAAAAGTCACAAGTTAGGGTCTCAGGGAATCAGCCATACAAACATTTGCACATGTCACTAATGCCAATATTTACATACGCCCGGTTGCATTTAAAAGTCCAAGGCATTCGTAATGAAAATTCAACGAAGGTCTGGCTTAGAACACTATTCTTGTTGTCCACAATCAAATTGTCTTGCACCGCCAACTTTTGTATGGCTGGGAGTGGGTTGAGTTGGTGGTGCAATTGATTGGGAGTTTTAATCAATTGTGGCTTGTAGTCAAGCAAAGAAAGCTAGCACATTGTATAGTATGATTTGTAATTACTACTATACAACCTACTACCTCAATTTGCCAGAGAGAAAAAGGTCCTTGGTGTAGTCCTTTTTGCTGGGTGGTTTGGTGTTTAAGGATTTTCTGGGTAGTTTTATTGGCTCGGTTTTTGGTTAAAATGATGTTGGCAAATAAGAAGAATAATGGGGAGAAATTATATTGAAATATATATTTAAATTAAAGTTTTTAAATATGCTTTTGAAATAAAATCTTTTATATGATCTGAGTCTTTTTAATTTGTTACACTTTTGTTTTATTGTAGAAAACTACATTATAGTTAATAAGTGATAATGTTTATCAGATTTGCTTTAAAACTCCGAATTATAAAAAAAGCTGTTTCATAGTGTTTAATTTGAATTTTTATTCATTTTTTTATTGATCAAAGCATTCTTAACTGAAAATGTTTTGATCAATAAATTTTATTGAAGCATATTAATGTAAAACTCCGTTTTTTGCCACGGTGTATGCATTAATTTTAAAAAGGGTTTAATTTTATAATTTAAATCCACTTAGCTTAATTTTGTATAATATTGGTTTATAGTGATTCTGGTTATATTATTATTTGTATATTTATAATCGCTTTTTAAATTGTAATCCTTACTCCGCCATTATTACAGTTTTTTGATATGTCATTCGATTTTGTTGCCAAAAACCAGTTGTTTGCATTGACAGACTCCCATAATGCCGGTCTTGTAACAGATATAAAACAGCACAAGTTCGGATTTACGGGTTTCTGTTAATGGTCCATATGTAAGTATGCACCATTTCGTGTTGGATTAGAAATTATTTAGGCGGTGATTGAAATTGAATCGGAATAGAGGATTCAAAAAGCAACCCCATCTGGGTGCAAACTCGTTTTAATCCATTTGGTAAGGTTGTGAAATTCCAACAGGACAATAGAATTGACATCCGGGTTCTTCTGAGTCATCTGTAACTTAAGATTGTGTTAAATATTTCATTAAATTGGAAATATCATAGTTACGATGGTCTTTGTTTCCTCCAGATCAGATTTAGAAGGTAAAACCTGAAATAAAAAATGAATGTAGATATTTATTGCTTATATAAATTAATCTTTAATATTATTGTGAAACTTTGCATAAGCAATATTAAAAGTGTTTTTAATTTAATTTCAACACAAACATTTTAAAATCTATATCCAATATCCAAAAACAGAAAAGTTTGCAGTTTGGTTGGCCTAATCTTAGTTAAATTTTGTATATTGTCAATATAAAATTCTTGTCTATCTTTTTTCCAATTTGAATAAGTAGCCCACTACTATTTTATTTAATGGTTATTACCACATATTTACGTTTATGGTTATTGTGGTTTCAACAAATCTTTGTGGTCACAGCAATTCCAAATAATCTGCAAGAGAAAGAGGAAACCAAAATGAAAACTAATTTTCAGTAAACTTGGCCAAATCCCTAATATAATTGTTTTTCTTATTCGTAACTAATGTTAAACATTCCATATATTTATAGGTTTATTATCCGTTTCTCTTTATGTTCACATGGAGCAGCGACAAACCGCAAGAAGAGCTATGCGAAAGATACAATTCCACTTGACTTGGTCTAATCCCCGATAGATTTGTCTCTCTGGCCACGTAAGCCGATCGCCCAGTTCGCTGCAGTTCGATTCAATTTGCAACAAAGGAAAGCCAGCGATGGAAAAATTGCATTACATATTCATCTTTTTGCACGGATGGGGAAAATCACCAAAAAAAAAATACCAAAAAAGAACATAATAGTTCGACGCGAATCTAGCCGTATAAACTATGCGGAGAGGCAGAGAATGGGGTATATACGAAAGGTATATATATTATGTATGGATAGATGGATAGATGGTTGGTTGGTTGGTTGGGTGAGGAAACGTTGCTGCAGCTGAAGCTCAGAACCGAAACTGAGGCTGAACCTGAAGCTATAGCTATGCCACTATGCTCGGCTGAGCGCCGGCAGAGCGGCGACTGCGGCTGTATCTATCGAGTGTTATGGCTATATGAGTGTTGTTGTCCCGAGTTCCCTGTTCCCAGTTCCCAGTTCCCAGTTCCCGGTTCCATGTTGCAGCTAGCATACTACATATGTACTAGTGGGGGTACCGGGTTCCCGAGTACTGGGTACTGCCGATGCGATTCTCCAGCCGTCTTCACCCATTGGCCCTGCCACTTTTCCACATGTTTTCAATGCTTCTTTCGGTGGTAGCAGACAGTCGTCTGGAGCGCAGTTCGTTGGCTGTACCTATTTTCGCGTATTTCAGCCAGGACCTGCCTCAACAAATTCACAGCAGACAGACGCTACACACACACACACACACACCAGCCATCGCACACACACACTAACACCAGCAAGAGGGGCTGCTTTCTGGTTTCCTTCCTATTAAAAACCGGTAACAGTCCGCAGCAGCAGCAGCAAAAAGCAGCAGAGCAGCGCTGCAAATTTTTGCACAATTCTTTTTTTTTGCACATCGTTCTCGCTTCTCTTAAGCTCTCTTAACCCTCTCAGTCAAACTCTCTTTTTGTTTACCTTCGCTATTTCATAAAACTTTAATTTCATTAAAAATATCACCCATACGCCGTGTGTGTCTTACTTATATTTTACATAAATTTATTTGCTGTGCAATTTCATTAAAAGTTCGTTATGTATGTGGAAGAAATCACTTTAACGGGCATCCTTTGGCCCTGGGCTCATTAATCAAAAATATATTTTCATTTGTGTCCAGTCGGCAGGATGCAATCATCTGGAAACTGTTTGCTTTTCCTTCGCTCGCTGCTTGTCAAACGGAATTTTTGCCATTAATTTTCATTTATCGCTGGCAGCAGAAAATTAAATTAAAATTGCGACATTGTCAATGGTAATTTGCTGTGATTAAAAATATTCTGTATGTAAATACAAAATAAATATGCAATAAAATTCCTCCTTTCGCATGAACATATCGTTTTTTAATTAAATCACAAAATCAGATTATTATTTTGACAGATAGTTTGCAATGAAAATATTATTAATAACAAAATCTTTTGTTCAAAAAATGCAAGCTAATTAAATTCAAATTTAAAACAATATACAATAAACAAGGCTATACAAAATACATAACCCTACATATTTCACAAAAATAATTAAATCATTTATTACCCGCTACAAGTAATTTTTCAAAATAAATTAGAAAGTCTTTAGTTTTTGTGTAACATTTTAACCAGCCTAATTATTCAACTACATTTTGACGGTTTCCCCATTAACGCCAACATCAAGCAATGTAAAAAACCAAGGCCAAAGCTCCTACACACACACACAAAGCCAATGCCACACATGCACAGCAAAGAACCTACACACACACTAGCAGCTCCCATATGTGTGGGAGTTGCACAAAATTATGCAATACCCTAATCTCTTCGCTTTCTTCTAACTCTTTGCGTTCTCTTTGAAGAGAGCTCTTTGCGGTTTTGTTGATTCTCACTCAATGCCATTGTCATGGGAGCCGAAAATAGGGTTTAAAGGGGGTGGGGGAGTTGGTAAAAGAGGGGTGCCCAAAGGGGGAGTAAAAAAAGAGTGGAGCAGAGTCGACATCATCCAACCAACCAATTCAATTAGACTCTCCTGCTTGGCCTTCGCCGTTTTCAAACCCCCTTTTTACCCCCCTTTCTTGCAACAAACAACAACAAAATGTGGAGTTGCGCGATGGCAACCCTATATTGCAGATGGGAGAGTCGAGAGTTGCAGAGTTGATTAACCTTTGGGCGTTCTGTTTTGCAACTTCATTCGTGGAGCTGCTCCGATTTAAATGCTGCCCCAAGAGGCACTTGTATTGGTGTGCCACGCTCGTTTGTGTGCCTTATGTGTCTCCTTCTGCAGTGTCTGTTGCTCTTCTTGTGTGCATGTGTGTGCGTGTTGTTCGCAGCCATGTTAGCAGCCATTTTTAATGGCCATATACGACCATACGACGGTCGTACAACAACAAGCAGAGAGAATCCGGAGAACGAAACTCCATCTGCAGTTCTGCTCAGATTATGCTTCATTCACTCTAAGCCGCCAAACTCCTTCTGGCCCACAACGTAAACATTTACACAGAGAGAAAAAGACTTGGCCTGCCATTTAGGTAAAGTAAGAATATTGGGATAGTGTAATATGCATTATCATTAAAGACACTTTTTTATGAGTTTCCAAATACCATATAATAATATTTAAGGTAAAAATAAATTATTAATTCAAATTTTTCAAAGGAGATTCAACAAAAGGATTTTGAAGAATTTTTAAAAAATATTTATTTTTTAGCAATATATTTAGTTGGTATAGATCATAAGTATCCAAGATACAAGAAAAAAGCTGTACTAAAATAAATATATATTAAAAAATATATATAAATAATATAATAAATATTATATTAAAATAAACATTACTACATTGTTTACGAAAATATTTTTTTCTAGATAAAATATTTTGTAGGTACTATAAAACTCCACAAAGTATGCAGCACTTTTTGAGCAATTTTTGGTTTTTTAATTAGTTGGCTTTAATTGAAAATTTATACATTTTAAATCAATCAAATTATAAATGAAGTAGATAAACTTTTTCACACTTCCAAAAATATCTGCAAGTCAATATAAAAAAATTCCTTAAGCTTTAGATTTGTTTTTTCTTGATCCTGTGAGATTTTAGGAAATTCTCCCATTTCCCCGTCATGAAAAATTCCTCATTTTCCTGGATTTTTCCTTCCTTTTCGCTCGCGTTGGTAATTGTAATTGAAATTTGGCGTTGAAGCGAGTAAATGCCCGCTCTCTATGCACCCAACCCCCCTTTCGCCACCACTGGGTGCTGCCATCCCACTCGCACCGCGCCTGCACTTTTATTACAGTTGCCGCTTTTTGGCCAAAAGTTGTTTTGGCCTTTCGCTCCGCTCTTCCTGTTTGTTGGTGTGGGTCATGGCTGCCGCGTCATGCTACGGTTCCTCTTAACTCTGCTTTGTTTCTCCCTTTT